CGCAGAACTTTCTGCGAGCCCAGCTGCGTCAACTTTGAACTTCCCTAGTACTGGCGCTGCTGGAGCGGTCCGCTTCAGCAACCCGCAGACAGCATTCTTGATGCGCGATGAGATGGCTGAGCAGCTCGCACAGTCAACGCTATAGAATCCCTACATGGGAGGATGGAGTTGTCATGGCAGAATGATAGCAGATTGTTAAAGCTTCCATCCTCGAGTTGTCTGGAACTCAGACTCTCATCACCCTATACAGTGAGTTTGAAGTGCAGAGTGCTCGTCCACGCTAGATACGCTCGAGAACTGTGGGACCCTCATTGCGCGTCTGGACAAGCTATTCACAAATGTACGCAGAGCTGCAGGGCTCCGATTCACAGAGCGCATGTTGAACATGCACTTCGAGGCATGGACACAGCGTCCATGGCATTTCTAGACAACGGGACGGCGACAGCAAGGGGGATTTTGAAGCTCGTTCAAGTGCATGTAGAAGGTTGAATTTGGATGCCTATTGGAAACGAGAATAACACTTCACACATCTACGTTGTCTGAGGTCGCACGGATCTAGCGACACGCGGTGAGCATACAAAAGGCAGACATGCCGCGGAGTGTGGACTTTGATCGTCTCGAGCGTGAGCAAACACGTCAATGTATCTGCCGCCGTCGCTGGCGATTGAAGTGACCGATAGGTTGGCAAAGAGCATCAACGATTCGCAAGCGAGGTCGACTGTATATCATGCTGGAGTAGGAATGAGGCAGAAGCAACAAACTGTACGTAGAATATTGTCACTCGATGCGGATTGCGCGGCGTATGCGTAGGAAGGAAGTCAATGATCGCGCGTGGCGACGATGAGCGTCATCTATGGGACGTGTTCTACTCTCCTGGGAAAGCTGACGGCTCGTCTGAGGGCTGCTTCATCATTCGTCTTCGTAACCCTGCACGGGCTGTCGTGGCCGCTTAGGGACTTGTCTGGTGTCAGGGCAAGCGACAATAACAGAGAAAGCGGGACTTACGGGGGTACGAGGTGGGGATGGGCTCTGCAGGCTTCCAGCCCCAGCTCCTGCGGACGGGCGGTACGGCAATGACCATGGCGGGACCGACGAGGCCAAGGACGCAAGAGAAGAAGATAACGGGCGACTCATGGGCCTGTCGTTGCTAGATGATGGCGGTCAGTAAGGAGGAGATGTAGGCAGAGGAGGACGCACGAAGTAGCGGTAGGACTGGCGGAGGGGCGAGAGGACGGAGGCCATCGTTGCTGTTGCTCAACTCGTCGACGCGAACCAGCGCCGGACGCGGGCATGGCCCGTGGGAGCGCGTTCCTCTTTAGGATTTCTTTCACGTGCCACAAACACTGCGAACTATGGTAGGAGACTAGATAGGAGGGCAGGATCTGCTTATTAGCCTTTCAATATTAAGACCGTCCTCCGCTCTATGAGGTCTCTATTGCTAAGATCTGCCTACAAGATACAACTCATTAGTACGCGATTGCTGTGGCCGCTTGTCCAAAACTACAACTACCCAAACCAATGGGTGCTACTGTAACGTTCGGTTCTCTAGCTAGGGCAGTTGCACTTGCAGGTCCTGCGCGACCTCCGAGCCCTGGTATTTTCCTCCGCGGTTGAATTGGTCGCATCTCCCGATGACTTGACCGCATGAAGACCTTCTTACTTAATGGCGCGCATCTTGCTGTGGAATCCAAGTGGGTACTACTCATTGGGACCAGCAGACCGTCCGCTCAAGTTATACTTGTCTCTCCTACAGTAGCTTGCAGTGTCAATGGCGTTGCACACAGACAGTAAGAATGGTAGTCTGACCGGGATGTCGATCGGAGACGGCATTTCCGACCACGTTGCTCGTCGGTTCTAATTCATCAGGACCGATGGTGCATTCAGGCGGCGTACACTGACTTCATAACAAATATGGATTTCACAGCTTGCAGGATTTCGTTTGCTCAGTGCGAAATATTGGATCCTCTTTATTTGTATGCTTGCATATGGGCTCTCTGATATAGCTGCAAGAACAGGCAGCCGTGGTACATCAGCCAGTCAGCATAGGCGAGGTGCACCCTAATGCCGCTATTGGTAGTATGATTCATATGGCCCCGGCCGTTATGTTCCCTAGTTCCTGGCTATGTCATTCAAGCAGGACACCACCTATTTAGCGGCGGATGATCGGCGGATTGCCCGGATCAAATCTACGCAGCGGCCTCAACATTGACCCAGCGTTCCTCCGCCTGAAATACTGTCAGCACTTTTCGAAGTGGGCTGATGACCGTGACAATTGTCATCACCGGCCTTCGTCTAACCGTCGGACCCGCTTACCCTGCTTAGACTTCTCCCAGGCTCACAATTCCAATCAGATGCAACACGCCGTGCTAACATGGCGTATGATATCACAGATTGATTACTCGCATACCGCACGAAGGGCGACACTGCGCATAAGTCAGCGTAAAGCATACGTATCTACTGCAATTCGGATCACGAGCACACAGGCTGAGTGTTAAAAGAACGCGCATCCCAATCTCACTTCCGGCCGCACCTTCGACATGCCTTCCACTGACGGTAAGCGGTCGTTTTCGTAGTCGTCGACCGATCTCACTGCTCTCCAGGTGCAGACTTTGTTCCTACATTACACAACGACACATACTCTACCATCAACCCTGCCTACGCGGATCTCGCCGGCAAGGTTGCCCTCGTCACTGGTGCCTCCAAGGGCATCGGGCGAGCCACTGCCCTCGCCCTCGCTCAGGCAGGCGTATCAGGCCTCGTCCTCCTCGCCCGTTCTGACACGAGCATTGTAAAGGCAGAGTGCGAAGCCGTGCAGCGCTCAGGGAAGCCCCTCACAGTCATTACCGCGGCTGCCGATGTGAGCAACACCACCGACATCGCCGGCGCAGTCGCGCTCGTCCAGTCCGTATTTGGGCGCCTGGACATTGTGGTCAATAACGCGGGCTGTTTGGAGACGTACCACCTCGTCGCCGATTCGGATCCGGACGAGTGGTGGAGCATCTGGAACGTCAACATTCGCGGGGTTTATGAAGTGACGCGCGCATGCATCCCACTACTCCTCGAGTGCGACGGAGACAAGACGATCATCAACATAACGAGCCGCGTGGCTCACGTCACTGGGTCGCATCTCTCAGCTTACATGGTGCGCCCGAGTCTTTGTGCGTCTGCGTCTCTGCTCAGTGGGCTCACTTCATTGCAGACCACCAAGCTTGCGCTCCTGCGCTTTACGGAGCTGGTCATGGCCGAGTATGCGGGCAAGGGGCTCCTAGTATACGCTGTACACCCTGGGTCGATCCCCACGGACATCCAAGCGACGATGCCGCAGAAGTACAGACACGTTCTTGTCGATACGCTCGAGTTGGCCTCACACACCATCGTATGGCTCCTGCGCGAACGCAGGGAGTGGCTTGGAGGCCGCTATATTAGCTGTCAGTGGGATGTGGATGGGTTATTGGCAAAGAGGGAAGAAATCGTCGAAGGAGATAAGTTGAAGATTAAGATGGTGCTTTAGGTGATGGTTCATTTACTTTGTTTGTTTAGGTGCATCGAATTGTCGGAGTCTCAGAGCATCATGGAAGAACTTCGATGAGATATCAAATATAACCCGCTTCGCAGATTGCTGCGTCAGGATCAGTGATGATATTGACCGGTTCTGGCCCTGTTAATGTGGTCAGAGTCAATGCATGACCAGCGACAGACCCCAAGGTCTAGCTTTACTCGCGAACGGTCTCCGCGTTGCAATGATTTCATGCGACAATTTGTCATGACTTGTGCGGTCACGCATTGACCATTGACTCTTTTATTGACGGGGTCAGACCCCCTTTGACCCTTTTGGCCTCGCAACGGGTCAAAGGGTCACCGGTCAATCACTGACCCTAACATCCCTGATCAGGATGTCCTCTCACCTTACAACGACGCTGATGGGTCATTGAAGCCGACAGCATGAATGCCTCGATCTCCCCCGCCCCCCCCCATGAAGTGAAGTCTGTCTCCCGACGGCACTGCACTTCTAAGGACAAGGAGCGATTAATGCAGTTGATTCCCTAATTTGACCGACACGCATCGAGTGGAGCACGCTTCTGAATTATCTGTCGGCATCAATCATCATGAGCGCTTACGACCAGAGGGGGATGTTCCCTCACCTCACTACTGTACTTACCTCTATCACGCACCAATGGAGTTTTGACGTTTAGCATGAAGGCCCTACTTTAGGGCGTCTGGGCCGCGTATGAAGAGAGAAAGTCGAGCTCCCTCACCTTGATCAAGTAAGCCTTTTGAGTGAATGAGTTTGCTCACCCTCATCAATAGATATGGTCTAAGCCATGAGCCACAGAAGCCGGTAGTATGAGTTACATTTTCAATGTTCCCGTCATCAAAACCAGAAGCGATCACGGTCGGTTTGATTTAATCATTTCCAGCTACACTTTGATATTCGATGGACGAATCATCCCTTGTTCGTGGGGGTAGCCGAAATGCCATATGCACAACGTTGCGCGGGACGCGATGGGGCCACAGCATCTCAGCGATTTTATGCTTTGGTTGATCAGATCTCTTCATCCGCTGAATTCATCCGCACAGCATCAATGCTGTAGACGTAAAGGTATTGAATGATGAAGATGATGAACACTCGAGCTGAATCTTATATTGTTAGTCTCTTATTCGACGGTACCTACGTACCCCCATCATGGACGGTACTTACGAATCCGTCGGAGACACTGTGGTCGCTCCTCTGCGGCGACAACCCTCACCTGCGAAGTCTTCAAAGGATTCTTGGGTAGAGCTTGGTCCTCGAAGACGAGTGGGACTAGTCACGCTTTTGCCGGCTTTCGTCATCTTCATATGCTGTATTTCGTTGCCAGTAGCGCTCCTCGCGTACTTGCTTGCACATCGGGTGACTTCCGCGTCGCCCGATGATGCCGCGCTTTTTGCAGGAGCCATTGTGGCTGTTGAAGGCGTGAAGGATGCAGTCTATTCCCCTAATTCGAACGATGCCATTGAGCAGAGTACACTTTATGGATTGGCTGTCACATCAATTATCGTAAGCAGTCTCTCAGTTATTGCAGCCTGACGTCTGATGTCTTTCAGAGCCACCTGATATCGCTCACCGTACCTCCACTAATGGGACTCTTAGCGTTTCGTGTGGCTGCGCATTGGATTCAAGGAGGCATCTGCGCTGTAGGTGAGGAGCGAAAATCAAACACCTTTACCCCAGTCCAGTGAGTTCTTATATAGAACAAGTTAACTTGCTCGCCCTCATCCCTGTCACCATAGATTTGGACTACTCCTTAAGATATATGGATCAAGCAGCATCTTTAGTTTAATCCAATCTGGAAGATACCTTTACAGGGAGCGTCGCACCAGCGCTAAGCGGTCGCCCATCATGTGGAGTTTTATTCTCCTTGCCGTGGTATTGCTGATTTCGCATGCTGTTGGGTGTGTATTTCAATCCCAATTCTACCAAAAATCCTTGCTAATCGTCGCGCATTCAGCTTCTGCGATCTGTGGCTCCACACTGTCTCTGGAACAGTACTCTGCACTTCCTTGGTCCCCGTAGACGATATTTCTTCGATGAAATACAGTACAGCAATCAATTCCTCGATTTGTCCTTATCCTGGCTATCAGCAAAATGTAATGGGCCCGGGTTCAGCGGAGAATTTAACTGGAGAAAATTGCTTAGCCTATTATAACTTCGTATATGGCTTCGCACCATCGGGACCTGGCTGGGGAGTTGCGTATGATCCCAATGTTGTTGCGGAGAGCGTCGCCACGTCAAACAATATGTCGTCGTCATATACCGTCATCATTGCCGAACCTCACGAGATCGCTGTCTTCGTTCCCGCTTCAATATCAAGTACGGGATTGCACAACTTCTCTGCGAACTCGTTCGGTCTTTCCGCATCTTGTACTTTACCAAAATGCGGAAATATCGACACCGGACCTCCGGAAAGCACCGATGGCGGACCGTTTGCGTGCAACGATTTCTCCCCGCCATACAATGCTACGCTCTACGACTCGACCACATTTCTGTACGATCCAAATGGATTCGTGCAGCAGCCTGACTGGTCAAATGGCACGGGAAGCAACCCTTTTGGTTTCTTCATCCAAATGATGTTTGCGTTACCCGCTATGGGCTTGCAGACGTCTGGCCTCAATGCGTCTAGCAGCGTAGGAAGCCCTGGCTGGTACTACAGTCCTGCTCAAGAGAACGTGGCATATTTAACGACTTGCACAATCTCCATCTATAATGTGACACTTGCATATTCCAACAACACCTATTCAGTCAGCGATGCAACTCTCGCAGATTTCAACACCACTTCAGCATTCTCTGCCGGTTTCATTGACTATATGTCTGGCGAGTATCTTATTCCCCAGCTCCTGAACATCTTGCAGGGGGAGATCCAGTCTCCTGGCTTTGCGACCCTGCTGCAGAGTCAGCTGATGCTTCGTTCACTTGCACTTTCCGCTGGTCTGGTACAACCCAGTTCTGTGAATAGCGCGTACGGTGTCACCCAAGAAATCGCCTCCCGTTACCCCATAGCCCCTCTTGTGACCTTTCTTGCACTGCTCTTCCTGTATGGTGGCGTGGCTTTAGCCATCATCCTGTGGACCAGCTTCTCCGTCGCGGAGTCTCTCATTGTTTGTCATACTGATGACAGAAAGCAGTCTCACAATGCTCTGACATTAGCGCAAGCAAGACTGACGGACCCTCTAGCGGTGCTGGCTGACGTATTTCGCTGGGGCGACTCAAGCGACGATGAGGACAGCGAGGCGGATGAGGATTGGAGGAGCTTTCAGAGCGACTCGTTGGAAATGTTCGGGCCGGAACGAGGAAAGGCAGAAGTCTCTTTCGGCTTGGATCCGATGTCGCCGGGCCTTCGTGTCGGATTAGTGAGGAGACGCATTGCGAGCGGCCTGGATGCTGACAGCGAAGCGGAAAGGGCACGGCAGAGTACCGATAGCTAGTATGATTCAAGCCCTGTAGGTGATGGGAAACGGAACACAAAAACTTGGGATTACGACGATGACTGGACGGTGTAATCCCAACAGCCATGTCCGCGACGATTCATCTGAAAGTAAGGCGCATCCTCATCGACATGCTCATGCATGAGCGTAAGGACCGGCTCGCAGGCTGCTGTGGTTACCATCTGCCAGTGACATATCATGTTAGCGAATGCTATTGCCGTCCAGTCTTTGGAGGATATCGGAACATGCGAGTGTCTAGTTGTGAATTCATCAAACCTCATCGTCACTTCCACCGAATACAAGCTCGCCATCGTCGAGGTCGTCGTCGTCGGCGGATAGATCATATGCGAATGTAGAAACTTTTTTTGCCTCTGATTCCCGTAAAATATCGTGTCTATAAAGTAAACATTAGTGTGGCATTCTCGGTAAATTGACGTTAGAATGACCACACCTTTTAAGAAGGTGTTCTATTCCAGTTTGTGCTTCCCAATCGACTCGGACCCAATTGTGCTCCAGAATACCTCCGCGATATACTAGCATTGTCGGAAGGACGTCTGTATCGACATCGTCGTCTTCCCAGCCAGCGTCCTCGCCTTTATCATCTTCGTCGCTCTCATTTCCATACGGATCGTCGCCATCGTCGTCCTGGCTATGAAACTGGCCTGGGATCGTAATTCTTCCGTGCCGTGAGCGTACATGTGTGGTGGGAAAGCGGGACGGATATCCAGATGTAGAGGGTGTCGACTTTTTGAGGCTTGCAAACCCGAGAGCACCGGCTCGGACGTGGAGAAACTTGACAGAAGGGTATACCCGCGCAAGTGAGGAAAGTTTATCATCTAAAGCTGCACAGCGGTCGAGAGACTAGTCGCAACGAACGCGTTCATTGAGTTGGACAAAAGGACGACGAGATATGGTACACACCGAATCGTATATGTGCACCACTACCCACACGCTCCGATCCTCCTCTACTGCCTGCACGAAGCTCCGCACACCAACTTCCATGAGGTGCCCAAACCGACCGCGATGGGTTGCAGCGCCATCGATGAGGCTGGAGACCTTGCCTGCTTGAAGCAGACGTTCGCGCTCCTCCTCTCCCCACGTCTTTCCACCCAAACTCGCCTTCTCCATCGCACGGTTAAGAGCCGAAATCTCCTCCGCACGCTGCTTCCTGGCGAGTGCTGCAGCCTCAGCATGGTCGCGCAGTACACCCTTCACACCCGTGCGCCCGGGGCCCATCCCGATCGAGTCGTGGGTCGGTCCTGCAGAGTCGGCGAGGTGCTGGTCAATGGCACGGCGTCGCTCTGCATCGGAATCATACTCAAAGTCTTCGTCATCGCTGGGCCATTGTGCTACGGAAGGAGAGGGGGAGCGAGAGCGGACAGGGGAGTTGGATCGCGATGGAGGATTGAAGAGCTTGCCTGAAAGGACAAGCTCCTCGATATTCGCTTCCTACAAGATGATGGAGCGAACGCAATGGCACAGACAGTCTAGAACATACCATGATGTTAATGAATAGCTGTGAGAGGCACTTACATGCTCTGTAAAGCAGGTCGCGGCTGTGGACTCTGGCAGTGAGCACGATGACGGTTTCATGCTAAACTCATGACCCACACGCACTCGTCGTCAGCTGAAGCCTGAGACTCTAGCGCGAGTGCCACCAAATTCGAGGCCGCGGGTACTTGCCTATTCTGGAAGTCGCGTAAGCGGTGGCTGCGCTGCGGTCCTCCTGCGAAGCTCCTCGTTGTCCGCCTTGCCGGCCACTTAGCTACGTCGTTCTCTCCATCATGTCCACGATGCAGCACTTTGGGAAGGGGGTCATGCGTGTGGCAAAAAACTACACCAAAGGCTACTCGGACGTGCAAGCAAAGGTGCGAGACGCGACGTCCAACGACCCGTGGGGTCCATCGGGTACACAGATGAACGAGATCGCGCAGTTGACATACAACCAGTACGTATCCACGACATGCAGCTATAGTCCATAGGCACTAGACTTCTTGCATAGGAACGACTTTATCGAGATTATGGAAATGTTGGACAAGCGGCTGAACGACAAGGGCAAAAATTGGCGGCACGTCTTTAAGGTGAGCTGTCTGCTACTGTAGTATGTTTCGTCTTTACGAACTTATCTACCAAGTCTCTCACTGTCCTCGACTATCTCCTGCATGCTGGTTCGGAGAATGTCATCATTTACTTCAAGGACAATATCTACGTCGTCAAGACACTGAAAGAGTTCCAGTATATTGATGAGGAGGGTAAGGACCAGGGAGCCAACGTCCGTCAAAAGGCCAAAGATATCACCAACCTTCTCCAGGACGAATCGCGTTTACGGCAAGAGCGTCGCTCGCGCGCACATATGCGCGACCGCATGGTCCAAGGCCGAGGCATCGAAGGCGATGAATTTGGCGCAGAGAACGAGAGCGGAGGGCGAAGATCACGTAGTCTGCCTCCGCGCCGAAGAACAGAGACCGACGGCGATCTTCAGCGAGCGATAGAAGAGAGTAAAAGGTCGCATGCAGCGGAGCAGGCACGGCTAGGTACGCTGACCGCGGAGGAACGCGACCTACAGACAGCGCTGAAGCTCAGCGAGGAGGAGGAAGCGAAGCGTGCCAAGGCAATCGCAGACTCCAACCAGTCGGCGCTGTTTGATGACCAGAATCAGCTGTGAGTGCTATTGACCCATGCTTCTTGAAACCTTAGACGTTCATCTGTCGCAGGATCTCTTTTTCGTCCAATAACAATACCAATCCATTCCCATTGGTTGACATGTCAAGTGGACTACAGCCACAGTACACAGTACAACCCCAATTCACGTCGTTCAACCCATACCAGCAGCAGATGCAGCAAGAGGCTATGCAGGCGGAATACGCGCGGCAGCAGCAAGAATGGTTACAACAGCAGCAACAGCTGCAGGCGCAGCAGGCTGCGCAGCTACAGGCCGCACAACAGGACGACTGGATGCGACAGCAAATGCTTGCGATGCAGCAGCAACAACAGCAACAGCAACAGCAACAACAACAGCACATGCTGATGGCACAGCCTACCGGTTTCGGGTGAGCATCCGTGTCCAAGTATCCTGCGTCAGGTTTTGATATCCGGACACCAGATCTAACAATCCGTTCGCCCCGGTGCCATCGGTGAACGCGACCTCGGTCCCGTCGTTCTCGCATTCACTCAGCACCTCGCCTGCCCCACCGCCTCAGTTCAACTTACAGGGCACGTTCGCGAACGGGAGTGCGCCGTCGCCGCCCCCACCGTCGCGCTCGGCGCCCCCTAGACAGCAGGCCACAGTGCAGACACGGACGCGCACGGACGACCAGCATGCGCACCTGGCGAACCTCCTGGCGAACCGCGACGACGACGGGGTCGACACGTTCGGGAACTTCGGGCAGCTCCGGTCGGTGTCTCCTTACTCCCGCTTTTATGGACTCGGTGCACTGATCACGTTGCACACACAGGTACGGGCAGCACGCAGGGCGTCTGGCCGGCCAGCCAACGGGCCAGCCGCAGGCGAGCC